GTGTTGCGCTCTTCCTCACCGGTCGCTCCTGCGCCTGCCGCTCCTGCCCCCCTGCACCAGGCCTGTGCATACCCCCTGTGGGCCCCTGAGTCTCCAATGCAGAGGTGGGAGGCCCAGGGCTGGTGCACAGCCCCTCCTCAAGGGCTCTGTAGAAAGGCACAAATTCTGAGGCATGGCCTCTGGAGAGGGTGTCCAGGTCCCGGTCATGAGAGCACCCTGCTGAGAGCAGTGGGAGGGAACAGCAGGCCGGCGAGTGTGAGGGCCCAGAAGCGCCGTCCATGCCTGCTGAGGCAGCCTGGGTCAGGGGAAATGAGATTGCCAGTCAGATGCAAGCCTACCTCCCAGGATCAGTCTGTGCCTGCCCCCCACAGCACAGTCAGGCAGAAGGCAGGGGTCAGCTCTATGGAGGGGGCCCACTCAGCTATGCCACGGCCCATCTGAGGGCACAGATGGAGGAGCGAGTCTGGGAAGAGAGCCCCCTATCTCGCGTCCTGTCTTTACGGTTGTGGGACACAGTGCCCAGGTGTGGGTGGTGGCTATTAGTGATGTCATAGTGCACAGGCTTTGGGACAAGTCCCAGGTTTGCTCCCTGCCACCTATGTGTCCTTGACCAGGTCACTTCACTTCTCTGAGACTTGTTTTTTCATCCATAAAATGGGAATAATAATCCATCTCAGGATTAGCGTTAAGATTAAATGAGGTGATGGAGTAAAGCATTTGTCCGGCTGCTAACAAGTTGTAAGGACTAGACAGACCTTTCCCTGAGCTTGACCTCAGGCGATTCCCTTCCGGGACATTACGGTATATAATTCTCATGATCGCTCCAACAGCAGCTACTTTGCTCTCCCTCTTTTAAGAAATAGGCTGTTCCCCAGGCTATCATCCTAGCAAGTGGCTGAGCTGGGACCGTGGGGGGTGGTCTGCTCTTAACCAGCCACATACCACTCCAGGAGCCCCAGCACAGGGCCTGGCCAGGGCTTGGAGCCTGGAGTCTGGGGCCCGTGATATGTTGGGGTCTAGGCCCCAGGACCGAGATCTGAAAGATGCCAGCTCAGCACCTCCCCACTACCCCCCCCCCCCCCTCCATAACTCACAGGGCACCTGTCCTTGACTGTCATCCTGCAGAAACAGCCAGGTGCTGTCACCCACCTGGTGGGGTGGGCTTGGGAGGCCATGCACGGCTGGCTAGGAAGGGCCAGGCTGGGAAAACTCTCCTCCTTGGAGCGGTAGTAGGGGAAGAACCCAGTGGGCAGGGCAGAGTCCTCCGGGCATGGCACCCCTCTGTGGCTCTGGCCTCCTTCATGGTCCCTGCAAATCTCAGGCTGCAGGGCCAATTCTTCCTCAGCCAGGAGCCGCCCGTAGGTGCGGAAGAAAGGCAGGTACTCCGCGGCCACCAGGGCCCCATGGAAGAGGACATGGGAGCTGAGATGTTCCTCCTCACTGCTTGAACTGGTGGCCCTCAGTTGCTGGGACAGGGGTCCTGGAGTCTCCTCCTCCTCCAGGAGTCTCGGAGAGGATGTGGCTCTGGGCTCAGCCTCCAAGCTCTTGTGGAATGTCTGGCAGGAGAAGGGTGTTACCTTACTGCACCCCAACTTCCTCAGCCATCCCTCCTCCCTTCCCAAGCTCTCTTGCATCAGAGGCCAGAGGAGTTTTACAAAGCCCGAGTGTGACTGGGACTCTGCCCTGTGAAATGAAAACTCAGCAGTGGCTCCCAACCACAGCAGGATACCTGGGAGCCTCAGGCACCCTGGCCCTGCAATGCCCACAGCCTCACCTTGCCAGTGCCTCGCCCTGCTCACTCCACTCCATACTCAGGCCTTGCGCCCTCCTCATCACGGGCATAGCCTTGCCTGAGCACCTGTGCCACATCTGCTCCTGGACTCAGCTCAGAAGAGCCTTTCTGTCCTCCCAGCCTCCCCCCAGGGCGACTCTGGATCACGCCTTCCTCATCAAAGTGCTCTTGGTATATAGTCTGGCTGCTCCCTGTGTGAGGGGGCCTTGTCTGTCTGCTGCTCCTGGCTCATGGTAGGTTGATAATTTTTTTTTTAGAATTATTTTATTTAACTGTATTTATTTATTTACTTATTTTAATTTGTCTAGAGAGAGAGAGAGAAAGTGAGAAAGCAAGCTGCCAGGTTCAGGACTCGGTCAAGGTCGGCTATGTGGGAGTCCAGTGCCCTTAACCACCACCATGCCACCTGCCGGCCCTGAGGTTGATACTCTTTCAACAAACGATTGTTCCAAGCTGCTGACTCAGCCCCTCTCAGATGCCCTTCACTCTGTCCAGCCCAGCCATGCACCTTCTCTCGGTCCTTCACACTTGCCAAGCATCTTCCTGCCACAGGGCCTTTGCATATGCTAATGCTTCAGCCTTGGCCTCTCCCTCTCCCGTTTCCTGGGGCATGGCTTCCTCAGTGCTTGGTTCAAGGTCACTTGCCCTCTCTGACTTTGTCGCATCACCTTGCTATTGACAGCCCTCACCCTGACACCTCGCATGCAGAGTCCCATTCCTCTGCTGTGAGACGTTTGTCTGCATGGTTACTCTATTCATGTCTCCCGTACCATCAGCCACAGAGTCCACCAAGGCGAGGCTCCTCTGTCTAGTTCACTTCTGTGTTTCCAGGACCTAGAAATGGGAGACGCCAGATATCGG